AGTAGTGTTTTCTTCTGTATTGCTCTCTGAAAAGTTTTGTGAAGGATTGGTGCTATTTATTCTTTAAATTTTTGGTAAAATTTACCAGTTAACAGTCTGATCCTGCACACTTTCTCTTGTGAGAAAATTTCTGTTCACTAATTCAGTCTCCTTACTTATGAAAGGTTTGTCTAGATTTTGTCTTGAGTCAGTTGGGAAGTTTATCTCCTTTGAGGAATTGTCCCTATCTATAATACCTTATTTGTTGCTAACATTCTTTTTGGTAGTAATGTGATAGATAAAATAATACAGTTCTCCCCATGGAAATTTAACTCAGAGCAGAGAAGTGTGTTGCAGGATATTTGATCACATTGTGATTCTGGAGATTGTGAACTATAAACACCTGTTTCTTGTTTGGTGTGGTTCAGCCCTAACACACACCTTTAATCCAAGAACTTTCTGTTTATTGTAAATAGGTGATTGTGGTGTGGCACAGCCCTAACACACACACACACACACACACACACACACACACACACACACACACACACACCCCTTTAATCCAAGAACTTTCTGTACACAGGATTTAATAGAGTTAACCCTACATCAAGAGGTGGAGCAAGAAAGCAGCTGACAGGTATTAACAGAAAGGAGGGACTTTGAGAGAAGAGTATTCAAGACACTGTGGAGAAGGTGCCTTCAGCTCCTTGGCCTTTAGCTTTGAGCTCTTCAGCTCTTTAGTGATTTAGCTCTCTGGCTCTTGGGCTTTTAGCTGTTGGAGTTTCCCTTCTGGGCTGGATGAGCTAGCAGGCTTTTCCTCCTGGGCTGTCATCTGAACTAGCAAGCTTTTAGCTTTGGGCTTTTGGATTTTTCCTTTGGGGCTGGAGCTGAGTAGGAAGGTGAGCAGGTGCTTTCTCTGCCTCTCTGAGCTAGCAGGTTTTCACCCCAGCATCTGACTCCTGAGTCTTCATCAGTAAAAATTAAATGATTGGGATTTTCTTTCATTATAACAACAGCAGTATTCAATAAAGTTGTGGTACTATTAATGTTAATGATAAGCCTTTATTATAAACACCAATTTTAAAGCTCATTTTTCCATTAACTAGCTAGGATGTTGAGAGGCTGGTTTTAATTGACAGTTGTTGGACCGTTTTTTTTGGTATGGTGCCTCTCTGCCTCAATTAGAGGATATTCAACAAAGCAGATCCTTTTTAGCACCTGTCAGACCTGTCAGCACCTTAGAACAGTATAGATGTGTTCAGTAAACTACCCTGTCTATGCTCCAGAAGGCACTGCAACTGTTCAAACAGCTTGTGTCAGGCCTTTTGCCATTGCCAACCTCAGTGTACTCTTAGCAACCTTTTTCATCCAGGCTGGTATAGGAATGCTTTACATTCTGACTCAGCAAAGAGCTATAATGGGGGCAAACACAATCCTCTGTTAGCACGAAGGACTGTGGAGTGACTGGTGTAAAACTTCCTTACCACATATCCTTTTCCTGGCAGAGTCTTTGGCTTCCTTTCCAAGCCATCCTGGTACTCTTGTTAGGCTGCCTCCTGTGCATGTATATTAGCTCCATTACAAAGATTTTCTTTAGTGGTCTTGTCTCCTTTGCATCTTTGTTATTAGTAGAGCAGGCTGAGTTGGTAACATGGAGACCGTGGTAGCAGGTAGGTAGCTACGGCAAAGGCAGCATGGGTCATGGTAGTTGTGGCTGTAGGGTAGTGGTGGCAGCAGGAGTGGTGGTGACAGGAGGGTAGTGGTGGCAGCAGTAGCAGTAGTGGCTAGAACATGGCTGGAGAGCTCCATAGAGCAGCAGGGAAGAAACAGTGAGGAGCAGAGGTACCAGGGGGTAGGAGATTGCAGATTCCAGTTGCTAGAAGGATTCCAGAGATGCATCAAGCTTTAAGGAACAAATCAAACCTGAAACCCAAGCCTGAGCGCTATAGCAGTAGCTGCTGTCAAAGGCCAATAGTTCTGGCTCTGTAGGCAGGAGAGCTATAACGATACCATTATAGTAGCTGAGAGCTCCGACACCCTGGCTTTCCCAGGGGTTGTAACACTGCAGTCACTATCTGCTGTTTCTAGCATTTGCTTCATTTATTTCTGCTTTATCTTTGTAATTTTATCTTTGATTTCCCATAACATTGAGTGACACATGATTGTCATTGTATGGTAGTTTCTATACAGATCTTTTGTTTCTTTGTGTGTGTGTGTGTGTGGGGGGGTTATGTTATTGTGTGGGTCTGTGCATGTGGAGGCCTGAGGTTAGTGCTGGATGGATTCCTCAGTTGCTTTCTACCTTACTTTTTGAGAAAGGGCAGGGCCTCTTACTGAACCTGGAGCCCACTGATTTGGCTAGGTTGGTTGTTCAGGGATCTTCCTGTCCCCATCTTCCCAGTGCTGGGATTATAGACATGTGCCACTGTGTCCAGAATTTATGTGGGTGCTGGAGAATCCAGACTCAGGCCTGTGTGCTTGCACAGAGAACACTTTGCTGACAGAGCTACGTCTCCAGCTTCCTGCTTTATTACAGTCTGTTTTCTTTATTATTGGAGTCTCCATTGTTATGACAGAATTCTCTGTTGTCACTTTAAATTTCACTAGTTTTTGTTTCATTTAATTTGGTGCTCTATTGTTTAGGTGCATGTATGTTTAAAATTGTTGTATCCTCTTTGTAGATTATTTTTTTGATGTAAGATGCCCATCTCTGTTTGGAGTAGCATGGTGTAATGGCTATTCTTAGTTGTCAACTTGACACACTTGGGAAGAGGGAGCCTCAGATGAGGAAATGCATCTATTGGGCAGGCCTGTAGACACATCTGGGGGGAATTCTCTTGGTTGCTGATTGGGTCAGGGAGGGCTTGGCTTACTGTGTGCCAGCCCTGGGCAGGTTGCATAGGGAAGGTACATGAGCAAGCCAGAGAACATAAGGCAGTTGGACCATTACCTCATGGTCTCTGCTTCAGTTCCTGCCTCCAGGCTCCTGCCTTGAGTTCCTGCCTGGGATTTTCTCAGGGATAGAGTGTATCCTATAAACAGAGACAAACGCTTTCTCCCTAAGTTGCTTTTGGTCTCGGTATTCATCATAGCAACAGAAAGCTAACTAGAACACAGGATCACTGTGAGTGAGGCTTCTAGGAAAGTCTTATCAATCTTTTTTTCTCTGATTGGTTTTAGGATTAGTTTTTCAAATTATTTTGGGTCACTTCACTGTGATAACTGTGAATGTAGGTTTCTTCTTACTTACGGTGGAATTCACTCAATTCTTGATTTGTAGCTCCATTGGGTCCAGGAATTTCTCAGCTATTATCTCTTAAAATGCTGCCTTGTTCTCTTTCTTTCTCCTTACTCTGTAGCCACTCTCTGCTTTGCCTCCATTGCCCCTTACCTGCCCTGCTGTGCTGTACATCTGTTATTTCCTTGGTGCACTCTTGGTACTTTACATGGTCTGTTTTCTAGTCTACTAAGTCTGTTTCCCAGCTGTACCCAGTCTTCTCGAAAACATATCATTAACTGTTTTTTTCCCATTATATATTTTAGAGACTGTCTGAGATTACAATGAATTTTAAAAATCTGCCAGTACACATGCTTATAATCCTGGCATTTGAGAGGCTCTGTTAGGGGTTTTGGAAGCTGAGGCCAGCCTAGATACCGTGGCAGACCCTGTTTTAGTAACAACAGCAACATGCTGTCTTGTTGATAACTTCAAGATTGCCTTTGTTTCTTTAAACATAGTAAGCATAGTACCCTACATGTGATAATGCCAAATCTGTACTACAAATCTGCTCTTCTTGTTGCTTCTTTCTGCTGGTTCTTATAATGCAATATGTCTTTCTGTTCCTGGTTAACTTCATGTGCTGTTTGAAAAGACTATGTGTGAAGATTCCTTGAGTATTTCAGGATAAATGAAGAAACTTTTATGTGCTTCTTCAAGGTTCTTCAGGACATTACCAATGTGGAAGCGTTTAAAATTTTGTTAATAGGTTGAAGTTTCTTTCGCTTAACAAATGTTTCTGAAATTAAGAATAAGATAATCATTAGTATTGGGCATGGTAGTGCACTTGGGAGGCAGAGGCAGGGTTCCTGTGAGTTTGAGGTCAGTCTGGTCTACAGAATAAGATCCAGGATAGCCAAGGCTACACAAAGAAACGCTGTCTTGGGGGTAGGGGCGGGGGAGGGGGACGATTGGAGAAGGGAATGTGGCAACAAAGGGATTGTTTAAGGGGCCTGTAATGATAGGATTCTACATTTTGATTGTGATTATAGTACCAGTAAATGTGCATGGAAGTATGTATATCACAAATAGATTCGTGTATCACTTGTAAAATTTCTAATAAACTGCATGGATTGTACCAGATACACATTTTAAATGTTGTTCTGTTGTTATACAGATGGCAGTACTGAAGATGACTGAGTGGATGGTGCATAGGACCGCCCTGTACTTAACCTTTGCAACTGCTTTTGAACCTATAGTAGTTTCAAATTGAAAAGTTGAAAAGGAAAGTTTCTTATAACCTGACTCATACACTTCATAGGTTGAGATATTTTTGTACCTGGATTTCAAATAAAAGGCAGTTACCAAAGGCCTCTTTAACTTTATTGAGTTTAAAATCTGTATTGCTATTAACTAGTGTGAACACTATTTTTGAAAAGTAGCTTCATGTGAAAGCAAAGTTTAGAGAGAGAGAGTGTGTGTATTTATCTGGCATAAATACACACTGGTGAAGGGTTATGCCTTGTCTGCAATATTAGGAACCCAGCCATCACAAAAGTGATGTATAGGGGCAGAAAATGTAGTCTTAAAGGACACTCAGGTACTAGAAAAACAGGCAAGCTGTGAGAAATGGAATAGAACCATTGCTGCCAAGTGTTTTTCTGTGACTGTTGGAGTATGAGGAATAGCAACATTGTTATTTAGTACTGCATTTGGAGAATTATGGAACAATGCAAAACATAGACAAGTGGTTTTCTTTGAGTTAAAACTGTTTTGAATCACAGGAAATGAAATAAATATTAACATGGAGGACAGTTTCGACACCAGATCATCATCATCTACCTTCACTCTTCCGAGTTCTTCAGAGACAAGGCTTTCGATTCAGCTCTTGCAGTTCAGAACAAGTTTACTTGAAGCACTAGAAGAGCTGCGTATGAGAAGGGTGAGCCCATCCTAAGGTTTTAAGTAGAAACTTCTTTCTTTCTTTCTTTCTTTCTTTCTTTCTTTCTTTCTTTCTTTCTTTCTTTCTTTCTTTCTTTCTTTCTTTCTTTCTAAAAGAAGCTCAAACAGCCACTTTTTTATGAAGCTTATTTATTTATTGATAAAGCTCTGTGGAGTTGGTTCTCTTCTTTTTTTACATGGGTTCTGGGAATCAAACTTGGCTTATTAGGTATGCATGGCTAGTACCTCTGCCCACTGAGCCATCTTCACAGCCTAACTCTGAGAATTAAAAAGGGAGAGAGTAAGAGTAAGCAAATGAGTGAGAGAAAAAGAGCTTTAAAAATTATAAAAGGCATTGGCTTTAGCAAGTGTGTTGGCCAGTTTTTATGTCCACTTGACAGAAGTGAGGACCATTTGGGAATAAAGCATCCTAATTGAGATTGGCCTGTAGGCAAGTCTGAGTGCATTTTTTTTTTGATTGATGTGAGAGGTCCAGCTCACTGTGGACATGGTATAAGAATCTGAGCAAGCTAGAAAGAGCAAGCCAGTAAGCAACACTCCTTCATGGCCTCTGCTTCAGTTCCTGCTTCCAGGTTCCTGACATTCATGTCCTGTCTTGAATTCCATGGACTATAAGCTGTAAGATTAAATAAACTCTTTTCTCAAGTTGTTTTGGTTATAAATATTTCTTCTGACTAGTTTTTATTTCTGCTTAACACAAGCTAGAGTCATCTAAGTGGGTGGAACCTCAATTGAGAAAATGTCTCCATAAGATTCAGCTATAGGGAAGCCTGTAGGGCATTTTTAAAATTAGTGATTGAGGTAGGAAGGCTCAGCCCATTGTGAGTGGTACTTTTTCAGAGGATCTTTAGTTTTAGTCCTGTATTCCCTGCTCTACTCTGCCCTCCCATCCTCCAACCTATATAATTCTTTCTTCTCCATTTTTCCACTTTCCCCTTATCTCTCTGTGTTCTTTCTTCCTTTCCTTGAAAGAACACCATAGTCCCTTAGTAATTTTCTGATCTCTGGGTATTTCAAATGAAACACATGTTTTTATTTATTTTGCCGCAGGTGGTACTGCAGGCCTTTATTTTTAAATGTGTTATACATTATATTTTCATATTTTTCTCCTCCCCCAGATCCTTCTATTCTCTACTGACCGAACTTCATATTTTTCTCTCTTAAAAATAAAACAAAAACCAAAACCAAACCAAAAAGTACACACACAAGTGCATGCATACACACAAAAGCACGCACGTGAGGGGGTGGGTGGGACTCTTTGTCTGAGTCTCTTTCTAGATGTTGGGATTTTGTTTGGTTTGAGCTTGTGCGGGTACTATGCTTGCTGTCGTGCATAGTCTCTGTGAGTTCGTGTGTATATCAGCTTCATTGTGTCTGGAAAACACTGCTTGCTTGAGGTCATCCATCACCTGGGGCTCTTACAATTTCTCCAGCCTCTCTTACACATAGATCCCTGAGTCTTGGGGTGGGGGAGGGGAGAATCACACATATTTAAAGATTCAAGGCTAACACCCACAAATAATTTATTTTTCAGTTTTAGGAGAATAGTTTTACCATATAGTCCTGTCTGGCCTGGCACTTGTGTAGACCTGGCCTTGAGATCCACCTGCTTGCGTCTCCCCCAGTGCTGAGATTAAAGGTGTGCATCATCATGCTGGGATAAATTGGTAATGATACAATTAGAAAACAATGGCATGCTTAATAAATTAATAAAGATATACAAATTATCTGAATCAACAAAACAGTTCATATTGAATCCATGCTATGTGCACTGTAGAATTTTAACTCCATTTGTTTGTTTGTTTGTTTTTGGTTTTCTTGAGACAGGATTTCTCTGTGTAGCCTTGGCTGCCCTGGACCAGGGCTGTCCTCCAACTCACAGGGATCCACCTGCTTCTGCCTCCTAAGTGCTGGGATCAAAGGTGTGTGCCACCACCGCCCGGCTTGACTCCATTTCTTCTTTATTGAGGCAGAGTCGCCTGTGCTCCAGGCTTGCCTTGAACTGGTGAAGTCAAGGATGGCCTTAAATTGCTGATTGTCCTGCTTCCGTCTCTGAAGTGCTCGATTTTAGATGTGCACCACTACCTGCAGGGGACTGAACTCAAGGGGCCTTCATTTATGCTAGGCAAACTTTCTTTCAATTCATCCCAGATGAGTTTGATAAATTTGATAAATAGATCTGATTTTGATAAATAACCTTGTCAGACAGATCCATGGGATTACTGATAAGAAATAGAGATGATTTATAATAGCGCAAGGGTCACAAATTCAGTATTTGGGTGGTTGGCATATGACTTGAGTAGGGTAGGAATTATGTTGAGCCTGAGAGCCTATACTGTATTGAAACCAACATAGAAATTTGTATTTCAGTTTGTGGTTTGAAGGTTTTTAACACGTCTTTTTTTTTTTTTAGATTTATTTATTTATTAATTAAATAACATTCTGCCTGCATGTGTGTCAGTGTACCAGATCTCATTATAGAGGGTTGTGAGCCACCATGTGGTTGCTGGGAATTGAATTCAGGACCTTTGGAAGAACAGCCAGTGCTCTTAACCTTTGAGCCATCTCTCCAGCCCCTTGAAGGTTTTTAAGATAGATATAGTTCTGATCCAAATCAGTTGTTAATGAGAATGAAAGACCTTTACTATGAAGCTTTTGGAACATTAAAATATGCATTTACTTGATGTCCTTTTATAAACCATTTCTAGGTCTGTACTTTAAGAGGATTCAAGTTTTGTAGGTGCAACATGCCATGCCAGTTAATAACTGTGTTATCACATAGTATGATAAAATTATAAATAAAATTACTTTACAAAAAATCTGTTAAGTATTCAAATAATAATAAGTTCTTGGGTTCTAAGTAAACAGTAAATAAAATTCAGTGGAATTTTGGGTGATATGAAGTAACAATGGTTTGCTAAGAAAACTGGCCACACACAGTAGTATAGTCTGTAGAAAATAATCTTACACCACCTTTCAGTACCGTAAAATCAGTGCAATTACTGTTGATTGGACCATTACAATCTGTAGAGTATATACTTTTATTTTACATAGAAAACTGATAAATGCATATTAGCCACCAACTATACATATTAGCTGCCAAAAGTAGCATTGTTATATACTTACACTTTCTTGGCATTTTAGATTCAAGTTTTCTACTACACTAATTTTAAATCTTTATCATTTAGCTTTTATGTTTTCTTTCTGTCCATCAAACAACTTTTAGAAGTTTTAATAAAAATTCTTATGAGATTGTCAGTGAAAGAAAATAAATTTAGCAAGAAAAATCCTATCTTCCAAGTTCAATAAAGTATCCAAGAATATAGAATCCTAAAAGTGTTTATTTTTTATTAGATGCCTTAGGACTACAAGGATTTAAGTGTTTTTACAAAAAACAATAAAGGAGGAGTAATTTGATGGTTTATTTACTCTTTATAACCTTTAGAAAGTGTTGTTTTTTTTTTTAAAGTGCTTGCTTCAGGCTGTAGTTTTACAAGATGGGCTATGTGTTGGTCAGACCCTTTCAATTCTTGACCCTGAACAGATTTAGGGACATAGCACATACAGCAGGCACGTGCTCAGGAAGCCCAAACTGTAACTGGGCACTTTTACTCTCCTTTCAGATTTATAATCTGTCTCTTCTAAAATTGCTCAATTCAGTCTCTCTATGTTGTTTCATAAAATACTACACTCTCTTCTATTTTCTTACTCTAATTAGCCAAAAGTTGGTCACAATAATATCTCTAATAATTGATGAAAAGATCTAAAAGTTTATTTTCTGAGAGTATTAAAGCAGCTATTTTTTATATTAGCAAATTATTAGGCAGGTTTCTGATATGGAAATTAAAACACTCCTATTGGTTATTTTAAGAATATTTACTTTTGCTTTTAATTATGTGCGTGTTTGTGTGTGTGTGTCTCTGTGAATATGTGCATGTGAGTGCAGGTGCCAGTGGAAGCGAGAGATCGGATTCCCCTGGTGCTGGAGTTACAGGCAGTTGTGAGCCCCCTGACGTGGGTGCTGGCAAGTGGAACTCAGATCCTCTTAACACTGTGTCATCTTTCAGCCCTCATATCAGTTCTTAATTTTTACTTTTTTATACCACAACTATTTCTAACTTTTATTTGAAAATGTTCTACCAAAATCAGAATATACTTGTAGACAGGCAGGAGAGTTTTTAAAACGTGTGTATGTGTGTGATGTATTGTTGAATTCAAACAAGTGCCATGATCTATACATGTGTTTGATCTCCTGGAATTAGTTAATTGTGAGCCATCATGGAGGTGCTAGGAGCTGAACCCAGGTCTTCTGCTGAGCAACATGTGCTCTTAACTGCTGAGCCACCTCTGCAGCCCTCTTCTGTATTTTAACATAGCTGTTTGGGGCAGACATGCATGCATATTGACTATAATGCAGATATGTGTATTTATTTTTAAGTAAGTCTTCCATTGTTACTCAGCCTGGCCTTGAACTTGAAATACTTCTGTCTACTTCTTGAGCAGGTGAGTTAACAGACATGCATTACCACCTCTGGGCAGTGGGTTTTAATTACAGATGTGTATTACTGCAAGAGGTTCTAATGTTGCCTTCTCAGGTAGCATTTGTTACTATTTGTTGCATGCATTTCCTTCCTGCTTTCCATTTTAGAGAAACTCCGGTTGTCTTAGCATTCACTTCTCACTAGTGCGAGTCACGTAAATCCTCATTGGTGGTGGTGGTGGTGGTGGTGGTGGTGGTGGTGGTGGTGGTGGTGGTGGTGGTAGTAGTAGTGTGTGTGTTCATGCTACAGTATGTATGTGACAGTCAGAGGAAAACTTTGTGGAGTAAGGTCATTTCCTGGACTTTAACATGGATTCTAGGGCTTGAACTAAGATCGTTGGGCTCTAAGAAGTACGCCTACCTCTGCCTCCCAAGTGTTGGTATTCAAGGTGTGTGTCAGCATTCCTAACTTCTATCCAGATTCTAGATTACTGGCTTGATATGGGGCCCCAGTCCTCTGCTGGATTTATATATTTAACTTTCAAAATGCCAGGTTTCCTCCCGTGAGTGTGCAGGTGTGTCACTTCTGTCTCTCTAGAGACAGCTGGAACTAAATGCCTGAAGTTTTAATTTTCACAGCATTCTTTTTCCTTTTTCAATATAGGAAACAGAGACTAAATATGAGGAGCAGATTGCTAAAATTATTACGGAGATACAGGAACTGAAATGGCAAAAGGTAAGTATTCCCCTCCCAGATGATCATCTTAGTGTCTATTTGAAACACATTCCAGGGGCTGGAGAGACCGCTCAGTGGTCAAGACCAGCTGCTGCTCCTGCAGAGGATCTTTCCCAGCACCCAGGTCATCCATAGTCATCCACAGCACCACAGTCATCCATAGCTCTAGTTTCAGGGGATCTCTTACCCTCTTTTGCCTCTGCAGGCTCCAGACATGGCCATGCAGGCAAAACCAACCAACCAACCAAACCAAAACAAACAAACAAACAAAAAACCCTGAAAACCCCCAAAACCATGCCATTTATATACATAAAGTAAAGTAAATCTTATATTCTAATTCTTTTCTCTTTTTTTTTTGGCCCCCCCTTCTTTTCTCTTTAAAAGTAAAAGAGATATGGTTTATTGCTGACTCTAAATTCTTTCCAATTTGTTAACATTTCAGTTTTAATTATATTGTTTTCCTACCCATTTAAGGATAGACTTATATCACAGTGTCTCAAAAAGTTATGCTGATATTTGATACTGTCGTTAAAATCAGTAACTAGCACTAGAATATTAGTTTTGTGTATTACCAGTAAATGCATTTAACTTTGTTAAAGTATTGTGCTCACTTTGTAATATTAATTTTTTTTATTATTAGTTACATTTTGTTAACTCTGTATCCCAGCTATATCCTACTCCCTCATTCCCTCCCAACCCCACCCTCCCTCCCTCATCTCCTCCCTGCCCCTTTATATTCTAATTCTTACAACAAAATTAATTAATTTTTAAATTTCTTACATGTACTTGAAGATAGTGCATAATTTGAGACATGGGCTCAGGACAGTTCCTACCAAAATTGTTGATGATATTTATGGCTTCAGAATTTTTTAACTTTCTGATAGAACACCAAGGACAAGTCATATTGGTTTTTTTTTTTTATTATCAGAAGAATCAACTTTATTTTCAGTGTTTAGTTACATATAAATGAAAGAAATGAAAATACAGAAAGCACTAGCTATAAAGCTTTTTGTGTTTCTCTCAATCTTATGTTATGAATATTTTTCCACATAGTTAAATGTATCTTTAGAGGATTTTTTTCTCAATTTTTCTGGTGTTGTAACTCTTGAACACAGTTCCTAATGTCCTGGAAACTCACAGGTGGAGAATCCCTGCCTTAGAGTATGAGATTTAACTATTAATTAGCTTAGGATCATGCCTAGTCATCTAAACATCTGTGGCCACTTTATTTTATCCTTATTAATTACTTGTAGAAATTTCACCAGATTAGTAGTGAGATCACTGTTGACTTCTAAATATTGTGACTATGTGATTTACTGTGTCTGAATTACATCATAATAGAGTTAGATTTCTATGAATACATCTTATAGAGTTTATTGTTTTTATGAAGTCATGGTAGTATGGTTGATTCTGGTGGTGGATATTTATATATGTTTTTCCTGTCTTTTTGATTGTTGGTGCATTAGATAGGACAGTATCTATAAAAGAGTATTTAAAACTTGAGGAGTCCTATATGTGGACATGCCAATATGGAAAAATGCCAGGGAAAATATGAGTATTGGATTATAGATTACTACTACATCATCAGTAGCTAAGATCACCCAGTTTAATCCAAGAGAACAGACACTATCTCCAAATCACAGTTTCTGTCTATTGTTGACTCGTTCCACAGGTGGCTAAGAATTCAGAATGCATTATTAAGGTTAATGACATTGGAGACTTTATTTAAGAAATAATATTCATTTACTCATTCAAGGTTCTGGATTGTTAGCAAGTAGGAAATAAAATACTTAGGCATGCATAAAGAACTGAAAACCTCATAAAGCACTACATTTGGTGAATGATGATCTAGTTTAGGAGTCCACATCCTTTTTGTGTATAGAGCCTTATGGTAAATATTTTGGACTTTGTGGACCATCACAGCAATCTACACAGCCATGGGTGGTACTTAGATGAATAAGTATGACATTCTCTCTCTTTTCTGTTAAACTATTTAAGAATACGAAACAGTTCTTAGCTTAGCTTACAGGTCATACAAAACAGGTAGTTGGTCAACACTGGCCTTTAGGTCTTCATTCATCCTTCCCTCTCTCCTTTCTTCCTTCCTTCTTTCCTTTCATCCTTCCTTCCTTTCGTCCTTCCTTCCTTTCCTTTTCTTCCTTCCTGCTTTCCTTCCTTCCTTTCTTTCTGGTCTTACTTTGTGTCCAGGCTGTCCTGGACTCACAGAAATTCTACCTTTGTTTCCTGAATGCTGGGATTAAAGGCATGTACCACTATGCCAGGAAGCTTCTAGTTTCTTTATTCCTGATCTCGATCTGTCTCTGTAGGCCCAGTAGTAAAGGCTGTCTGTATTATATATTTGCCTTCCTGATCCATTTATTTTGATTGGGAGTTGTTTTATTTTCTGAGGACAGTCTGTTTTTAAAGTTTCTTAGCATTTTCTACTTTTAAATTTCTTGGTAGGATGGCAGTCTAGGTATTAGAGAGTTTGTTCAGTTAGGAGATCCAAAGATCTATGCCCTGAAGTTTATCTATTGTGTTAAAAGCTAAAGTAAAGTGGATAGAACTAGAAAATATCCTTCTGAGTGAGGTAACCCAGAACCAGAAAGACATGCATGGTATATACTTACTTATAAGCGGATATTATCCACATAATGTAGGATAAACAAACTAAAATCTACAGATCTAAAGAAGCTAAACAACAAGGAGGACTCTAGGGTGGATGCTTAAATCTCATTCAGAAGGGCAAACAGAATAGGCACAGGAAGCAGTGGACGAGAGGAAACAGGACAGGAGCCTACCACAGGTGTTCTCTGAAAGACTCCACCCAGCAGGGGATAGAAGATGTAGAGACTCACAGATAAACTTTGGGCAGAGTGCAGGGAGTCTTATGGAAGAGGAGAGGGATAGAAGGACTTGAAGGGGACAGGAGCTCCACAAGGAGACCAACAAAGCCAAAAAATCTGAGTCCATGGGCCCCAGTAGAGGCTGATGCATCAACCAAGGACCATGCATGGAGAGTACCTAAACCCCTGCTCAGATGTAGCCCATGGGCAGCTCAGTCTTCAAGTAGGTTTCATAATAAGGGAAGCAGGGGCAGTCTCTGACATGAACTCGGTTGCCTGCTCTTTGATCATTTCTCCCTGGCAGGATAGCCTAACTAGGCCACAGAGGAAGAAGATCCAGGTAGTCCTAATGAGACTTCATAAGCTAGGGTTAGATACTAGGGAAGGAGGACTCCTTCTTTTTAGTGGACATGGGGAAGGTGGTGGGGGGAATGAAGGAGAGAGGGTGGGACTGGGAGGAGATGAGGGAGGGGGCCACATTCGAGATACAAAGTGAATAAATTATAAAAAATAATAAAATTAAAAAAATTTAAAAGGCAAAGTAACTGATAGAATTTTTTCAAACATGGCTTCCAGGATAGACACAGGAAGCAGTGGAAGAAAGGGGATTTCATTTTCTTTGGAGTAATTTCAGGAAGATAGCTTTTGAATTTTAACTGATGTAGAAGAAATGTGCTAATATTCAGTGTTGATATGATTTTTGAAACACATTGTATAAATCTCTTGGAATACTTTATTAGGTTTTTCTGAAGCAAAGAAATGGCTCAAATCAGGGAGGAATAGCCAATTTTATAAGGCAGCCTCTAACAGGATTGCATGGTGAAAGCTAGTGACTGTCAAGCGTGTGGACATCACGGTCTTAGAAGTTGGAGACAGTGGGAGAGCACGAATAACACTGATGTGCTATTGACATTGTTTTTCCTTAAGCCTGCAGATGATGGAGCAAGTTCCAAATTAATGACAAGGCATTCTAATAGAAATGCTGATGAAGTGAGTGTTCTGTCACTAGAAGGCCTATTTGGAAACATTCAGGAATTTCTTTTTACTGGCAGAACTGTAGCTCCATAGCAAGAAGCTTCAGTCAATTCGGGAAAGAAATAGGCAGTGATGAGAACACAGAACCCATTAGAGGGTTAATTTTAGGAAGCCCATTTACAGGAGCTGAGGCTTGGATTTACAAGAATGACAGTTTAATCAGGAGGTTCTGCTGGCCAGGGACAGCCTCCGCAATCTTAGTAAAACTTCTATTAGTGCTATAATCTGGTTTGGTTTCCAGTCAATCCTTGTTCTGATGGGTAATTTCATGTAAAATTTTTGAGAAATTCCATTAAGATCCTCTGGTGCCACCAAGTGTTTGTCCCGAATGTGTCCTGAAAGAGATTTCCTTGTGTAATTTACAATCACTTTTCTTTCATAGTATGTAGCCAGTTGTGGGCATTCCAAAATAGCCTTTATAAATCTCTCAAAGCATTTGGCTTTTGGAGTACCACAGAGCTCAGGACCATCCATCATGAAGATTAGCTAGGGCATTTGCTCTGGCCTTTCTGCCCTCCTTTTTAGTGTATATCTGTTCTCAGGAAGCGTTAGAACCTTGGAATGGTTGACTTTGCAACCTAGATTCCTGCTGAAGTTTTAAACCCTTGTTTCTCCAGTATTCTGAATCATGGGTATCTGCAGAAGCACACCTGATGATAAGGGCAAGCTTTGCAGCATAAGATATGTTCTGTCATCTTGGTTAGCTTACCTGTTAAGGAATCATAATATAGAGATCAGTGGAGACTGCTGTAGCATCCCTGGCATTTTTTCTATTTCAATTTGAAAACTTACCTGTTAAAAAAGTTAGGCCTAGATTTAACCTAGGGAGAGTGTCTAACCAGTCAGCTTCTGTCATAGTCATTGCCCAGGGACTAGATTGTCAGGATTTCTCCACCGTTGAATTATAAGGTCTAGCAGTCTTTTAAATAGTTGCTATATGAGCAACTATTTAACTATTTAACTATACTGAAAACTATTATAGTTTTCAAAGAGCTATATTGTATATAGAAGTTTCTGATCATCAGAATATTTCTTGATCTCTGTGCAGCCTCTTTTACATTAGTATATTTGATTTTCCTTTCCCTTCCTTTCCTTTTTTTTTTTTTTTTTTTTTTTTTTTTGAGGCCGGGTCTCACTGTGTAGCCCTGACTGACCTGGAATTTGCTGTGTACACCACAGAGATCTTGTTTCTGCCTCTCAGTGCTAGGATTACAAGTGTGCACCATCACTCTCAGCTGATCCATTTTTATTTAAAACTATAGTACATTTAAGTCCTTAGATACATATAATAAATACCAGTGTATGTATATTTATGAATATAAAATGACTAATGCATAGAAGTGGAATGATTGTGTGTGTGATTGTGTGTTGTGAAAAGCTGTGCTCCAGGCATGACATGGCTGTTGCCATTTTGAATTCAGAACAGTTGTGGTAACTGCATGAGGTTCTCACAAGACTTGGCCCACTGGTTGGAGAGCATATGCCAGCTGCTGATATGACAATGAGAAGCAAGTCCTGGCTTACCATTTCATACAGGTGGGGTGTGGTGAGATGCGAGGGAAAGAGTACAAATTAGATTTGTGTTAAATAGCTCCCCATAATATCCAAAATGTTGGAACCCACAAAAAAATTAATAATGAAGACTGGAAAGTGAGGTGAGGACAGAAGCAAGGAAACAAGGGGAAATTCATACCTAAGTACTATATATCATAACTTCTATTCCTCCCCCCTCTTCTAATCCAGTTTTTCCCATGTCCCTTCATTCCTTCTTAAATTCATGACTTTTTCATTACTGTTACTGAGTGCAATCAGTGTTGCTCATATATTTGCTCATAAATGTGTTTAGTGCGACCCCTTGGGATTGAATAACCTATCAGGGAATTTATCCCTGAAGAATCCTAGTTCTTCCACCCTCAGCAGCCATTACAAAATTTCCTCTATCCACATTGGTGTGTCAACTGGTGTGGTCATTATGCAGGGCTTGTTTAGGCAACCACACTGTTGAAATTTAATAGGTACAGCTTTTCCATCACATCTAGAAGACAGTATCTAATAGCAGGTGTCCTAGCCCCTTAACTTTGTTTAAAATAGTAAATACTGAAAATTAAATACTGAGTGCAAATAATCAGACATACAGCTTTTAACCTCCCCCCCCAAAAAAAAAAGCATAGGTGAGAAATGGGATCATGCATGTGCAATTAAAAAAACAGAAGCCTAGGACAGGGGAAATGGCCCAGTGGGTAAAGTACTTGCTGTGCATGAATGAGAGCCTGAGTTGGGAGTCTCAGAACCTGTCTAAAAACCAGATGAGATGGCCTATGCCTGTGATTCCAGTGCTGCTACAGTGAAGTTGGGAGGTGGAGACTGGACAGTTCCTAGAAACAAAGCAGGGAACACTTGCCTTTGTGGCACATGGTAGGCTCCTACTCATTAACAAACCACACACACACACACACAGAGAGAGAGAGAGAGAGAGAGAGAGAGAGAGAGAGGAAGAGAGAAGAGGAAAAAAAGTGAAATTCTTTGCTGTGCTTTGGTTTTACAAAATATAGTTTGGTGAACCTAAAGAAGTAAATGTCATTGACCATGTTTGCTAGGTAATAAAATTGCTTTTGAAAATTCTAGCCGCAAGACTACAATTCTTCTTGTGAACTAGGGTTGTTAATTTTAAATAAATTTAATTAGATTTTTTTTCTCTCCCTCTCTTCCCCTTCCTTCATTTGTCCTTCCCTCTTTCCTCTTTCTTTCTTTCCTTCCTTCTTTCTTTCTTTCTCTCTCTCTCTTTCTTTCTTTCTTCTTTCTCTCTCTCTCCCCCCTCCCTCCCTCCCTTCCTTCCTTCCTTCCTTCCTTCCTTCCTTCCTTCCTTCCTCTCTCTTTCTTTCCTTGAGACAGTGTCTCATGTACTTCAGGTTAACCTTGAACCTTCTGTGTAACCATGGTGGGCCTTGAATTCCTAATCTTTACCTCCTGTGCTATGGTAACAGGTGTGCCTTATCATGGCTAGCTTGGCATTGTAGAAAGCTTTGGAGCCAGCTATATCTAGTGTCTAAAAATTTAAAAAGCAATGTACTTTTATTATAAAGAAGCAAGTGAAAACAAAATTTATATATAATTCTATGACCAAAAGATAATTAAATTGTTTAAAATCATATTTTAAGAGAATAAGTAGAAATAAATGTTTTATAATATTTTCATTTATCTATCTATCTGTCTATCGTATGAGTGTCTTTATATAATTGTTCATGTACATATGTTGATCATGTGCAAGCCTGGTGCCCACAGAAGTCAGAAGAGGGGCTTCTGATTCTCTGGAACTGGGGTTACTAATGGTTTGAGCTGCCATGTGGATGCTGAGCCAGGTCCTCTGTAAGAGCAGCAAGTGCTCTAAACCACTGAGACATCTCCCCAGCCTTTTGTTCTTTACTTATTTTAATTGTAAACCAAATTGAGATTTAAAATAAAAAGCTTACTAGACTTTGTTTTACCTTCTCATAATTTTCTTTTTTTTCCTTATATTTTAAAAATAGGAGACTCTTCAGAATCAAAAGGAGTCATTAATAAAGCAACACAAAGAAGCAATGGGAATGTTTAAAAATCAGGTGATTTTCATGATAGACTAACTGCAATAGAAAACTGTGTATTTTTCTTTCTGCTGTATTATGACAAACTAGTCTGTGAACACACAGAAAACAAAAATGATAATATTATGGAAAGCAGGAAATAAAATTATTTTTATTATAACTCATGGTAGTATAGATAAATTTGGAAAAAATGTTTTCTTGGTAATGGATCTGTCCTAAGTAATTCTGATATGTGCTCATTCACCCTCTTTCTTTTGTAAAAGTATGCCATTGGCCTACCTTTTACATGATTCCCATGCTGCCCCTTTACCAAACTCAGTTTGTTGAACTATGCATGGTTCATGAGTCAACTTGCCAGTAATTAAAATATTAAGAGGAAGATGTGAAGCCAGGCACGGTGTCACATGCCTTTAATCCTGGAGGTAGAAGCAGATGAATCTCGTTGAGTTTAGGGCCAGCCTGGTCTATATTTCGAGTTCTAGGCCAGCTAGGGATATAGAGAGAGACCCTGTCTCAAAAAACCCAAAAGAAAGAAGATATGAAGGAGGGAGAGGAGAGGTGATCCCTATTTGCTGTCTGCTGAAGCCTCCACGAATAGCAACTACCAGAATAACTGAAAAATAAAGAAGATAAAAACTAAAATATTTTAAAGAAATGAGAGTTATAACCTCATTAATTTGAATTCCATCATCTTTAACTTTCTCAGCTTTATCTCTATACCTTAGAAAACGTTAACTTAGGAAAATGCACTCAGATACAATATCCTCTGGAAGTTTTTTTATATATCCCACTGTCCTCATTTTTTCTTTCCACTTTTTTTAATCTTAATTTTCATACAACTGTGTGTGGGGAAAAAACACATCTGTGTGCTTAACATTACTAGTGGGTTGAGGTTAGTGATAATTTACATCTTGGGATGACATGCTTTCTTCTTTTCATTTGAAGTAAGTCTAACCAAAGTTACAAGTTTTAATTGAAGGGTAAGGAAGCAGAAGCCCAAGTGTACAGTGTTTGCTAGATTGCAGAAGCCTCTGTCTCTGCCATCACAAGAGACGGAGCACATAAGAACAGGTCCAGGAGACATCTTCAGAATCTCAAGCTTGTTTATTTTACAGCACTAGAACTTGATTGCACATGGCTGAAAAGTTCTTTATCACTGTGCTGCATTCAAAGCCATGTTTATTTTTAAGTGAAGAACTGTTGAATGTAAATGAAGAGTGTGAAAAAGAGATAGGGACGTTTCTAAAAAAAAAAAAACAAACAAAACACTGACAATTTTGCTAAAGTCCTTAATGCTGATTAGAATATTTTATTTTTTTCTATTGACATATTCACTTTCATCTTGCTGTTTTAAAACAGTATTTTTTAAATGAAGGTCATTTTTATTTCATTATTGTAATATTTAAGTAAACTCAGGATATAAGTACTGCTCATGCAAATACAAATGCTGTAATTTCATAAAATTATAACTTTAGAAAATGATAGATGCTATTGCTTAAAAGTGGATAGTAAAATATTTCAGATATTTAAGATTTTTAGATGGTTAAATCAAACTTCAATAATTGGAATAATTGGTGTTTAAGTGATTTAGTTATTTATGTGCTTTTGTGATTGCCTTTCCTTCTGTTTCATATACTTCTATTTTCTGAATGCGAGAACATGTTCAAATTGTATAAATTCAACATAGAAGTATAAGATGCTTTCATATTCTTACTGATCAACAAAAATCACTGTTAACAGTTTACTTACCTGTATTTTGATTTTTAAAACTTATCAGCTACAAATGAAGATGTATGCCTTGGAAGAAGAAAAGGTAGCTATTAATTTTTAAAATAACAAAATATACTTAAATGAATTTATCATCATTGTTCACTATAATAGAAGTAAGTGTTATAATGGAGAATAATGGAGAATGTTGGTTAATTGAAATCTTACAAGCAGAAAGAACCTCAGGTAATCTTGTTACTGACCTTTGTGACTTTAGATGGTAAAACAGGGGCTAGACTTCAGGCTTCTTCACCCAAATTGAAATTCTTTTCTTCTGCAGTGCTCCCTTCTGTGAGCTGCCCCATGTTCTAGTGCAGCGGTTTTCAACCTGGGGGTCGCATATCACATAGCCTGCATGTTATTATTTACATTACGATTCAAAATAGTAGCAAAATGAACTAGCAATGAAATAATTTTATGGTTGAGGTCACCATAACATGAGTAACTGCATTAAAGGATTGCAGCATTAGGAAGGTGGAGAACCACGGCTCTAGAGCCTTTTCAGTGTGAGCACGTGCTTTAAATGTAAAACTCTTGAGATGACTTGCATCTAGTTGCCAGCCAGTTAGAAGAGGAGACACGACTTCCAACAAATCATACACTAACTGGCACTAAATATTTTCTCATGCTAACATAGTTAACATGTCTATTATGACAATGGACATAGAATTTACAATCTTAATTTATGGATCTACTCTTTAAAATTTTATTTATTTATTTATTAAGTACACAGTGTTCTTCCTGCAGGCCAGAAGAGGGCACCAGATCTCATTATAGATGGTTGTGAGCCATCATGTGATTGCTAGGAATTGAATTCAAGACCTCTGGAAGAGTAACCAGTGTTCTTAACCTTGAGCCATCTCTCCAGCCCTATAGATATACTCTTAAGCTAGAAATTTTAAAGGAAATTCTCCCTTTATATTCATGATACAAATTTACCTATGCATTATTAATTAGAAAACATTTGACCTTCTGCATTCAGTTTTGCATGTGTGGATCAATTTGCCATTAATTAAAGATACAGGTTTAGGAAAACTGTCTCTATGCTGGATACATACATTTTATTCTTGATATCAGTCCATAACCAGTATTTTACAACAACTGTTTATATAGAGTTTATTTTCTATTAAGTATTAAAAGTGAGCTGGAGATAATTTGAAGTATGTAAGAGAATGTGTGTAGCTTATGTGTAAACACTGACATTTTATAGAAACAGGTTGAGGTTTTGCTGTTTATAGAGGAGCTTTTAGACTTCTCGTAAATTCTGAGCGATAATTTCATATTCTATCTAAGAATTTAATAATTATATAATATCTGTAAGTTTTCCTAGAAGTGTTCTTATAAATCAAAGCATCATAGTTAAATTATTTTGTAATTATAATTATGTAAAGGTTATTGCATTATTTTGATATAAATAAATCTTCATTAGAAATATAATTTTTCATGTAGACATATGTTTAAAGTCTGTGAGGTGACTTTTTCTATTTTCTTCTTTTATATTTATACTAAAAATAAAGTATTAAAGTGTGATTTTTCTTACCTGAAAGGGAAAATACAAACTTGCTACAGAAATCAAAGAAAAAGAAATAGAAGGATTGAAGGAAACATTAAAAACATTGCAGGTAAAGTAACTTGCTGTTTAAAATCAATTTCATATTTTAGCATTGTGTCAACAAAACCCCATTCAACCTGTCTAGCAAACATAATAATATTTATATTACATAATACTTTTGCCTGGGTATTATACTTTGAAATTTGAATTTTGTTTGATATATATTGTATTTTAAACAGCATGTACATATATTAAGTAGAACACACATATGCATATAGTATATGTATATTTAAATAGCCTTCATTACTTGTTACTGTAATATAGGTGTCTTCATTGCAGTTCTGTTGCTGTGAAGATATACCATGACCAAGATAGTGCTTATAAAAGAAATAATTTAATTGGGGGCTTGCGTACAGTTTTAGAGGTTCGCTCATTATAATCATGGCCGGGAGTGTGGATCTCCAAAGCCCAGGAACCTTAGACACGCCTGCCTGATTCTGCCCTGCCCAGGTATAGGCTGTTTAATTAGCCAATCAGGTGTAATGACTTAGGTAGATTTACAGAGAGGGCCAGAAGTTAGCATCAAACCAAACTCCAACACTTTTCTTTTTATGTTTTAAACATTATTTATTCACTTTACATCCCGATGGTAGCCTCCTCTTCACTCTTTTCCTAGTCCTATCCTCCCTCCCTCTTCCTCCATACTTCCTCCCCTTTTCCTTGCCCACCTACTCACCCCAGCTCATTAAGTCACATCAGGACAGAGAGTACCCTCTTCCCTCTAGCCTGGTGAGGCAGTCCTGCAGGGAGGGGGGGGGGGCTGCCCTAAGGCCGGGCACCCGGTCCCTCGCCTCCCTGGGCCCCCCCCCCCCCCCCCCCCCGCTCGCTTACTAGGGCACTCACATGACGCCTGAGCTGCCCATCTGCTATATCTGTGTAGGGGGCCTAGGTCCAGTCCATTCATGGTCCTTGGTTGGTGCAAGCCCCTCTGGGCCCCGGTTAGTTGGCTCTGTTGGTCTTGTGGTGCTCCTCTCACCTCCACGTCCTTCTGTCCTTCCTTCCACTTTTCCACAAGACTCCCTATGCTTAGTCCAATGTTTGGCTGTGAGTTTCAGCATCCGCTTCCATCCGCTGCTGGGTAGAGCCTCTCAGAGAACAGCTATGCTGGGCTTTTGCCTTGTTCCCTTTTTTCTGTAAGTGCTGGCAGGGATGGATAGTAACAGGAATGTTCATTGCTGTGGAGACAATTTGACTGTTTCTTATAAAATTAAATATTCTTTTTAAAAAAAACAAAGTGTGTGTGTGGGAGCATGGAACACTTTTTACATAATGGAAATACTCTGTAGTGCTGTACTGCTGGCTAGGTATCATTCTCCATTTGTCCAGACCCATAGACTGTTCATGAGTGAACCCTGTTGAAACTGTGGACATTGAGTGATAATGTGTCATTGTAAGTTCTGTAATTGTAACAGACACATAATTTGTGTGTGGGAGGAGAGGAGGAGGGAGAAAAAGAGATGTTAATAGTTGGAAGGTTACTCATGTGTGAGAATAAGGGAATCTATGGGGTATTTGTACTTTTCTCTCAGTTTTGCTATGAAACTATAAATGCATATTTTAAAATCTTGAAAAAGAGCCCTAACAGCTCTCTGAGTGGAATTAAAATAATTCTTATTACTAAAATATTTACCATCCCAATTTTATGTAATCAAAGTATTTTTGAGATGTGAAATTAACTTTTTTATCTTTTAAAAATTTTAAGCTCAGATAATTTCATGTTTTGCCTTCCCCAGTAATCTCCATCTTTGCTCCTTTTCATTTTCTTAGAAGGTACACTTTCGTCTGCCTCGTGTGTCCTTATAGTCTCACTCTCTCTTTCTGTGGACTTGAGGTATTTTATGTAGTTTCTTTACATTTATCTTCTAGTTCACTAATTTTTCAACTATGTTTTATTTGTCATATAACTTATCCATTAAGTTTTTTATGTTATAACTGCATTTCTGTTTTATAGAAGTTCAATTTGGTGCACTTTCAAATCTGCCTTTTTTATAGTGTCTTATACGTTTCCTATGCTTTTTACTTTATCTTTTATGTCTTTAATCATATAAAATAATTTTATATCTTTGAGATTTTTGTCTCTTATCTCTAATTATTGGGGTCAAGTCTTCCTGTTTGCAATGTCTGCCTGCTGGGGTTTCCTCTTGGAGGTCTTTGGTTTTGATGTGGTTCGTAAATTTTAACTTGCTTGCCCCTCTTCACAGGAAGCACAGGTTCTGGTGAAATTATGTCATGTAACTTTTCCAACAGAACTCATTTATGATACTTTTTTTCTTTTTCTGAATCTCAAATTGTAAGAGATAATCCCCTGGTTGTGTACACTTTCAGGGAATGTGTATTGAGTCTTCATATGCTTTGTGCTACAAGTTATAGTGTTTCAGTTTTTCATGGGATAATTTTTATTTTCGAACTAGAGATCTAGTTAAAAATAAACTTCCTGTGTTGACATACTGAATTTTCTTTGCAGTTAGTAACAGCTCATTGGTTTGTATTCCTTGCATATTTTTCATCTCCATATATGATGTATTAGCCCATCTTCCCATGCCTCCATCTGTTTTTTTTAGTTCTCCTTCCCTCCCATTATTCTTATTCAAGTTTCACTTCTACTTTGATGTCCTATCTACACATGATTTTATGTATCTATACAAAACCCATGAACTACAAATGAAAGGGAACCTATGATGTTTGTCTTTCTGAGACTGATTTAATTTACGTCATATGATCATCTCAAGTTGGGTCAGTTTTCCTGCAAACCACATAATTAATTTTTCTTTATGAGTGAAAATTCCACTTTTAATATATATCATACTCTGTTTATTCAGTCCTGTGTTGGTAGACACTGGCCTCATTCCGTAACTCAGCTGTTATGGAATTGCCGCAGTGGACGTTGGTGTGCGAGCATCTCCATCATATGCTGACATATTTCTTAGGCCTTTCAGGGTAGATACCTAAGATATCTATAGCGGAGTCACATGGTGGCCACTGATTTCCACACCAATCGTGTGTAAATGTTCCCTTTTGTAATTGCCTTTGGAAGGTTTTTTTTTTTCAATTTTTATTTTTTTTAAATTTTTTATTTAACTTTTATTAATTACACTTTATTCATTTTGTATCCCCCATAAGCCCCTCCCTCCTCCCCTCCGGGTTCCACCTTCCCCCCCCCCTTTCTGCATGCATGCCCCTCCCCAAGTCCACTGATAGGGGAGGTCCTCCTCACCTTCTTTCTGATCTTAGTCTATCAGTTCTCATCAGAAGTGGCTGCATTGTCAGGGTTCTAGGTTATCTCCATGGTTAGGCCTTGGTTGGAGTATGAGTCTCTGGGAAGTTTCTTGTTCTGTTGCTCGCCTTGTGGAGTTCCTGTCCTCTCCAGCTCTTACTATTTCCCACTTCTTACATAAAATTCCATTCACTCTGCCCGTCAGTTGGCCATCAGGCTCAGCATCTGCTTTGACAGTCTGCACAGCAGAGGCTTTCAGAGGCCCTCTGTGGCAGGTTCCGAGGTTGTTTCCTGTTTTCTTTTTCTGGCTTTCAGAGGCCCTCTGTAGCAGGTTTCTAGGTTGTTTCCTGTTTTCTTTTTCTTCTGATGTCCATCCTCTTTGCCTTTCTGGGTGGGGATTGAACATTTTAGTCAGGGTCCTCTCTTTTGCTTAGTTTGTTTAGATGTACAGATTTTAGTGGGTTTATTCTATGTTGTATGTTTATATGAGTGAGTATATACCGTGTGTGTCTTTTTGCTTCTCGGACAACTCACTCAGGATGATCCTTTCCAGATCCTACCATTTACCTGCAAATTTCATGATTTCCTTATTTTTCATTGCTGAGTAATACTCCATTGTGTAGATGTACCACAATTTCTGCATCCATTCTTCGGTTGAGGGGCATCTGGGCTGTTTCCAGCTTCTGGCTATTACAAATAAAGCTGCTACAAACATGGTTGAGCAAATGTCCTTTTTGTGTACTTGAGCCTCTTTTGGATATATACCTAGGAGTGGTATGGCTAGATCTTGAGGAAGCGCTATTCCTAGTTGTCTGAGAAAGCACCAGATTGATTTCCAGAGTGGTTGTACCAGTTTACATTCCCACCAGCAGTGGAGAAGGGTTTTCCTTTCTCCACAACCTCTCCATCATGTGTTGTCACTGGAGTTTTTCATCTTGGCCATTCTGATGGGTGTAAGGTGAAATCTCAGGGTTGTTTGGATTTGCATTTCCCTAATGGCTAATGAGGTTGAACATTTCTTTAAGTGCTTCTCTGCCATTTGATATTCCTCTACAGAGAGTTCTCTGTTTAGCTCTGTTCCTCATTTTTTAAGTGCATTACTTGGTTTACTGCTTTTCAGCTTCTTTAGTTCTTTATATATACTGGATATGAGTCCTCTGTCAGATAAAGGTTTGGTGATGATTCTTTCCCAATCTGTAGGCACTCGCTTTGTTTTGATGATGGTGTCCTTTGCTTTACAGAAGCTTTTCAGTTTCATGAGGTCCCATTTATTGATTGTTGCTTTTAGAGCCTGTGCTGTTGGTGTTCTGTTCAGGAAGTTTTCTCCTGTACCAATGAGTTCTAGGGTATTCCCCACTTTTTTTTCTAGCCGATTTAATGTGTCTGGTTTTATGTTGAGGTCT